AGGCATGAAAAATATTGAAATGTTGAGACTCATGTACCACTCAACCGGATTTCACTAAACAAGCTCCAAATGAAAGGTACACCAAAAAAGATATTCAAGACGTTTTCAATCCTTATGTGAATGATATAGAAAATTTAATTTTAATGTTATGTTTAATTGGCAGAGTATGAAAAAATGGTGTCCTTATTTCATAAATTTTTATTTTATCTTATTTAGAGAACAACTTATATATATTATTCCTTAACATTGTCAAACAAAGTATTTTTTGTTTTGATGCTCCGTTGAATTTGAATTTGTAAGGAGATGTTTATAGTAGTTGTAGGTTAGTTGTAGTTGTAAATAGTAGTAGGCTCCTTTTTCCAATTTCAATCAAACCAATCCCACCAAGATGGGCTTCCCTTAATAGGCTCGATATGACTAGATATGAATGCTCTGATCTGTGTCACTTGAAAATTCATACATCTAAACCACACAAATTCAAGAAATAAAGATCATTTAGAGTAAAAAAGTGATTTTAACAGAATGCTTGGTTATCAAACCGTTAAATATTTTCCAATGGAAGTCCGCATCGTGCTCTCTTGCCGAGCGGATCTATTTGCTTTTTTGCTGAAGGAAGTGTGTCTGCTACCTGTAGCTACAAAAAATTAAAACGGAACTTTTCAATGAATTACCTGTTAAATTTTTACATTGTTTTAATCTTATTCCTATTCGATCGTTGTTTGGGCCCTACCCGAGGTAATCTTGCTTATATATCGATTTGGAAAATTCCTCTTCGATTCTTTGGATTCTTATAGTAATCTGTTTGGAAGTCGATTTGGAGAAGGTTGATTCTGCTGCCATGGCGCCAATCACAATAGAAAAGGGCAATTGCTTGATCCCCTTTTTGATGAAATTTAATTATGTAGTATTCGATTTTTTTACAATTGTCATTCTTACATTTATCGCAGGGTCAATTAGAATTGAAAGGTACCGCTCTTTATACACTTCGGAGTGTTGAAACACCCTCCAAAGGCGCACCCCTTTATCAGTCAAAGTTGGATTCCTTAGCAACAAAATTAAACAATGACACCGATAATGACCATGCATCAGAACCCTAGTCTTAACCACTTCAAACTATGGAACAACGAATAGAAGATTAGGGATCACAGAGATGAAGACTAACTTACTCATTTTTTTCCTTGTTTCAAGATCATCCTCGGTAGACAAAGCCGAATCTTGTCACTATCAACAAGGCATAAAAAGTAACAAGGACTAAGATGTGTTCCTTTGATTACTGAAAAAGCATTTTCCCCTAATTTGAAGTAGTCAGGACAAGGAATCGATAGTAGATCTTACATGCCGTAACGTACCACGAAAAGGTGATCTACACGGATACGAATTTTGTTCATTAAAAACAAAAATATAAATGTTTATACTCTAAACATATGAATTATTTAAAGTGATTTGAAAGCATGTTTAAAACTAAAATATTTATGTTTGAATTAAATTCAAAAGCATGTTATTTCAACAATATAGGATTTGGGTAAACGGTTTTTAGCGTGTCATGCCTTTTTATTTCCTTCTTGTTACATTCGGAAAAAGTTGCCCCAGCTTTGCTCAACCTCAACAGAAAACGGCCATCCATTCCGAATCCACTCCGGATCCTCCTCCGAAACCGAACATGGAAAGAAACCGGTATGAGGACCAGTGGCAGAAACGGCAAAACGACGCTAATAACACAAATTAGCACCAGTTCCACTGAACTGGATCCCCCGGACACCCACCCAGACGGGTCCTTGCATCCCGGACCAGGACCCCAATACCCACAGGTCACCCTTAATCGCACCCGAAAAAGAGCAGGAATTAAGATGCCCTGCCCGAAGATCTTTTTTTTTCATTTCTTTGCAAACCGTTTTATTTTGCTTTACCCTGCACTCAACTACTAAAATAATTCCAAAATACGTATGTTTATTTTACATGAGAAGCATGTTTAAAATAAACATATTTATTATTTATTATTGAAATCAACCTAATTTATGTTTTTGGCCAGAACAAACTGAGTTTGCGTTTAAATTTACCTCAAATATTTTTGTTACGACGATAGTTTTTTCAGCGTGTACCCACGTTATGGGTCATTTACGTATTTCTTTAAAATCGTTAGTTGCCACCGGTTGGTCATATTCTGTTTGATGATTGTTCTGCACGTTATTACACTATTCAATATCCAAACAGCCCAACATTCTTTTCTTCAGCAAGAAATCCGTCAACAATCAATTTGGTCTTAACTGATTCATGTCAACTTTGTAGCCAATTGGTTACCCATGCTGATTTCGGTTCTGATCACCTTACAGTAACTTTTGAAATATCCCAAGAAATAATTTCTAATCCCAACAGCTCTACTTTCAATTACCATAGGGCTGATTAGGGTTAGCGGCGCCGGTGGTGTAGTGGTAAGCGTGATTACCTCTCCCCCAGCAGGCCTGGGTTCAATCCCAGTCGGTGCCGCCAGGATGTTCTGAGGCATAACATCTCTGATCACGCCAGGGAAGTAAAGCCGTTGGTCCCCGGTTCATGAGTTGATGGGTCGATAAGTAGGGTCCAGGTGTAGGAGCTGCCTTCCTGGCGTCGGTAGCATTGGTGCTCAGCACGGAAAACAAGATCGACGAAAAACAAATCAAGGAAAAAAAAGAGCTGATTGCGAGCAATATCAAACATTTATGGAATATAGCTTTGATCCAAACATTACTTTGCAAACCACGGATGAAATTAATTATGTTCTTGAAATTTTGACTACTTCTATAATTGAAGCTAGAGCTGCCCCAGTGCCAAAACGCGAGGTTAAATTCGATTCAATTATAATAGACGACGATCTTCAGCTCTTAATTCGTCTTAAAAATGTCCCTAGGAGGCAAAATCAAGAAACACGCGATCCTGCCATGAACATTATCTGGCGTAATTTGCAAAAACAAATTAAAAGGCGATTCTCTGCCCTGAGGAACAAAACTTTTGAAAATCATGTGTCGAAATTAGACCCGAGTTCCAAACCCGTTTGGAAACTCACAAAATTTATGAAAAAAAAACCTCAAAAGCCTATTCCAGCGCTTAAAGAAGGTGGTAAAATTTTGATTCTCCGATAAGCAAACTTTTTGAAAAAATAATTTTGATTTGCATAATGCTTCACATCAATACGAACTCGATTTTTGCTGATGAGCAGTTTGGATTTTGCCATGGGCATTCAACTACTCATAAACTCTTAAGAGTTACCAATTTAATTCGTTCAAACAAATCTGAAGGCTGCTCAAGTGGAGTTGCTCTTACAGACATAGAATAGGCATTTGACGGTGTTTGGCATGAAGTATTGATTGCTAAATTTAAAAAGTTTAATTTTTCACTCTATATTATAAAATTAGTTTAAAATTATTAAACTTACAGAACTCTGCAGGTAAATCATCAAAATTGTCGTCCAGCAACCTGTTAGAACTGATTTATCTCAGGGTTGCCACAAATCTTTGTTCGCTGTTGACGCAGGCATTTGCAGAAAAGATGACATCATATTTTCTCTTCTTATTTACTAAAATGGAATATTTCTCTAAAACTCAACTTATAATATTTCCACATAAGCCTAGAGCTTCCTTTTTGAAACCTAGTAGTAGTAGTAGCAGCAGTCATGCTTTACCTACCAGGAAAAAAGCACTCCAAAGATTCAGAACAAAGTTCTGAAGATGATTTTAAAGTTTCCTCTTTGGTAGGAGAGAATGGTATACAACGCACCCCCTGGGCAGAATGCACCAGCTGACTTTTATTTGTGTTTTTCATGGCTTTTACGTAACTGCATGATAAATACTAGAATTGGATTAAAAATTCCTAGAAAAACTCAAAATAAAATGAAAAAGTGCGTCTTACCCCGGGGGTGCGTTATGTACTGTTCTCCCCTACAGTACTACCAAGGTACATATAATTTTGAATGTTGAGACTTTATAGCAAATGTCTTCAGTTGTTGCAAGTCTCAACATCGCTGTGATTAATTCCCTTTTAGTTTTTAGTTCCCTTTTTAGTTTTTAGTTTTACGATGTCAATTGTTATACTGACATGCAGGTATAGAAAACCTGTTTAAAATACTGAATTGCCAAGGCAGGAACAATGTAAAAACACTTAGATATATATAGCAAATAAGGCTGATAAGTTACTGGCTGGAGCACCTAGGTTAAAATGAAATGTAATTTATTTTGAATTTGGAACAAATAAAGAGTTGTATCCGGGTGAACATGAACTTGTCTAACTTTACTTTCATTATACCGTGGACCCCCGGTAATCTGACCGTTCTCAATCTGAACACTTTTTAGTTTGAATCTCACTAATCTGCATGCTGCCGTAATAAAAATAACGATTAAAAAGTACTTAACGACGTGTGCGGTATATCATACAAATAATTTGTTCGTTTATGGTGTTTGTTTATTATTGCTCAAAGGTCGTCTAGCACATGGAATAGAGTAAAGCGAAATGGAACGAAAAAGTGTCGTTCAGATTAACGGGGGTCGACGGTACTCTGTTTAATTTGACGATGTATACGTTGTATCGCCGGGTCATGGTTACAACGTACACTGCAAACAAATCTTATTAAGACAGTGAGTCACTTTTGACACTACTAGGCTAGCTTGATATCAAAAGTCGTACATTTTATTTCCAGTAAAAACATGACGTAGGAGTGATCATTCCAAGACAGCCTAATATCATGTAATATAAGCTATAGTCTGAACGTAGAATTAGATCATATGTCCTTCCTTGTCCTTTTGTCATAGATTTAAAAAAAAAATCTAGAGCAAACAGCTTAAACATTGGTTAATTAAAAAGCACCCCAAGTGAATAATGATAGACATGATCTTGCATCTAGGATGAATCAATGGGGTGGATTTGTATGATTCTCGAAATAAATAGTCACATTAAAATCTTTATTAATTGATCAATTGTATCTATTTGGACACTAATTCAAATAGGGAGAAATGAAAATCGTGTATACATACAGAACAAACATGCGGCATATGCACTAATACGCCACCAACCGAGTGAGGTTCTGGCTGTGGAACCGCTACTGGAACTGGACCTGTGAAAAAAGTAATAAAACATCATTCAGATTATGATGGCTAACTAATATTATCAATGATCAATAATGTCAAAATATTCAAACATAAGCTCTGATAGATAAAAATAACTTTACAATATCCATTTAATTATAGATTTCTCCATGTTGTTAGTGTCATGCTAGGGATAAACTAGTTCATGGTCTTCATAAACTGTATGAGGAATAATCCAAGAAGCGAGCCAAAAAAAAACCAACTATGTGAGTTCTACTACAAACAAGAATATACAATATGCTAGAAACATGCATCACGCCAAATTCAGGAAAAAACCACCCTCTTCCTCCCTTCGATGGAAAGAATTTTGTGAGCCTAAAAATGATTGCGTCCTGTACAACAATTTCTCCAATATCACCAGCTCAATAAAAGCATTCTTTATACATGACCGGTCACAACTCCCCACTCAAATGCTACGTCATTTGTGGATGTTCTCTTATAACAGTTCTCACTACGAAATCTAGGTGGTGAAAGCACTTAGTGTCACGTGTAGCTTAAATAACCAGAACCATTTGTTTAAATAGCCATAACCATTTTTGTTGAAAATTTCCATTGGGTGCTAACAGCACTTAGTGTCACGTGTAATTTAAATAACCATAACCATTTTTTTTTCTTCCATGTATGTATTTAAGCTTATTATTTTATTTTATGACTACAGTGACCCGTCAGACAAATTTTTATGAAAAATACAAAATGTAATTAATGCAATTAATTTGGCTTTTAGTTTTGTAATGTAATAAATAAATAAATAAATATATATAAGTTAAGAACGCAGTGTTCCAGAAGCCATTTGAATTTCATACACAAGGATGAATCAAATCAAAACCATTCATCAACATCAAGTAGCAGCTGCCCTAGGTCTCCTTCGAGGAGCAGTCTCAATCATCATGTTCATCGTCAGCAAATTCATCGAAATAAACTGAGCAGCATAGCTCACTGAACTGAAACGCGCTTCATCAGCAACATGCGATCGGACGCCGGACCGGACGGCGATTCTATTTCACCACATAGCTAAGGCACGTTTCTCCAGTGAGGCCTCTGTAACTTCTGACAAATAAAATTAAATTCATTATTGTTTTGGACTTGGAAGAGGTAACATCTAGTTAGTTCCTTTTTTAAAAACGTATCACAAAACCATGAGGTTTTAACTGGCGCAGTCTAAGTAGGATCTGCACTCGGTTTTGATTCGCGAGTGTTGTGCGTTCCTGCTAAAGCCGGAAACGAGGGCATAGCATCTTTGAGGGCACATCAAAGGATTGTGGACGGACCCCGCAGAAATGAAACCAGCGCAGAGTACCAGCTCATGACGGTCGAGGGCGACCTGGATGACAACACAAGCTGACGAATTTTGGATATGGCAACTCTAACAAAATGGAACTACACTCGATACCGTTAAATCATGGACAAACCTCAAATCAAATCCAAATCGGGACGCTTCGGACTTAAGGAGGGACGAGGTTAAGAACGCAGTGTTCCAGAAGCCATTTGAATGTCATACACAAGGATGAATCAAATCAAAACCATTCATCAACATCAAGTAGCAGCAGCCCTAGGTCTCCTTCGAGGAGCAGTCTCAATCATCATGTTCATAGTCAGCAAATTCATCGAAATAAACTGAGCAGCGTAGCAACAAACCAAACAAACTGAAACGCGCTTCATCAGCAACATGCGACCGGACGACGATTCTATTTCACCACATAGCTAAGGCACGTTTCTCCAGTGAGGCCTCTGTAACTTCTGGCAAATAAAATTAAATTCATTATTGTTTTGGACTTGGAAGAGGTAACATCTAGTTAGTTCCTTTTTTAAAAACGTATCACAAAACCATGAGGTTTTAACTTATATATATATATATATATTTATATATATACACATATATATATAGATATATATATATATATATATATATATGTATTTTTATATATAT